TTTAAGACTATTTGAACATCGAATAGTCATTCTACCCATTCAAGTAGATATTTGATGGCTTTTGACCGTGCTTAAGGAGAGATTATAATATAAAATCGTATCTGAAGTATGATGTCAATGAATCTAATGGATCCTAATGAATCGTAGAAAAGCTAAGATTTTTACGGATCGCCATCTTTGACAGGAGACTTTGTTAATCAATCACATATTTAATTGAAGATGCCTCATAAAATCAACAAGTCGAGTCCGAATATATGAATTCATCACATATCGCGAAGACATTTACAATAAAGTTCAGTGGTTTGAATAAAAATTTCATAACTATTATCCTGTGATCAACGGCTCGAGCGAGCAAGTCCCGTGCGGTCCCTGCACCAATCCGCCAAGCGGATGGGGGGGCTAAGCCCCCCAAATGCCGGCGCGTAGCGCCGCGCATAAATTGGCCGGAGGCCAATTTTTTTTTTAATGTGGAAGGCTCACTAAGACTTGACTAGACTCCCCTCCCCCCTCGTAAGACCCCGTGAGCCAAACTTAGACCTTCCCCCCCCCCCTTTTTTGAGTAGCTTACGCAAGGTTTTTATTATAGTGTAATGTTTCAGGCTTGCGCTCTTCAGCGTGTGGCAATTAGCTTTTTTTTTATTTATTTTTTTTTTTATTTTTTTAAATTCATGCGTTTTCTGTGAAGAGTTACGTAACTCACCAAGCGCGGGCCCACCCGCAGACTTTATCGCTGAGCCCACCTCAACACCCTGCAAGGCTCGATGAGGGGATTCCATTTCAAAATTTCAGGAGGTGACTGGGCCCTTTAGAGCCGTGGGCTCGCCCTCAGTGCGGCCCTTCATTTACGCCACTGCTGTTTAATCATTCAAACTTTGTAAACATAATAAAAATCGCCTTTAGTCCTCATTTCTGGAGTTGATACTTGCATCTGGTTGTTCATTTAAGCGTGCTAATTAAATGTTGGATAAAAATAATTTGTTGTCCTCCATATTCCCTAGAAGAGCTGGATACACATTGCGACCGCCATTTCCACAATATTACAGATTTTTTCAAGTGACATTTCAAACATGCAGCTTCAAATCTGCTTCCGGTTTTTGGGGAAACATTTTCATATTAAATCAAGAGGAATCATTGGTTTCCTAGATATCCGGTTTCTTGTTCCATGTGTAAGCATATAATTCAGCTGATATGGCTCGATCGCCATATCGAGCCATATCAGCTGAATCGGAATTTGCTTTAAAAAAAATCGATAAGAACTATATCCTTTCACCCTGCTAGGCTCTCCTTGGAACTACGAAAATATCCCTTGATGAAATAATTCTTGTACCCTCCTTCTCTACCGCATGATAAGAGTTTAAAATTTTAAGTTCCAATTTTCACGTGCTTGCCAATTCACTACGAAAAATTGGTAAAATATGGAAAATAGTGTTATTGCCTGTGCTACTTGTCCGTCGGATGGACAAAAACACTGTCTTATTTTTTATGGACCGTTCCGTCGCACACTTTTTTTGAGGCAAATTCTAAACATCGATAACGCAAGAAAAATGCATTATCGCCTTTATATCGTATCCGTTTCATTCGTGTAATCAACCGGTTAGCGATACGACGAACATAAAAAAGCTTCTCGTCACCATTAGCTTCTCCCTTTTCCAAAATGAACCTATCCTACGATCAAAGTAGGTATACAATACACTGAACCAACACTACGAAAACGAACTATTAAAACTTTTAGTAAATTGTATTTTTCATAATAGGTACTTTCTATGCTTCTGGGGCCGAACTAGGAAACCGTTCAAGTATCGCGTAAGTTTCTCAAGAGGGGAGGGGTAAGGCCTAAATTTGGCTCACAGGGTCATACTGAAATTTCGAAATGGAATCCCCTCATCGAGCCTTGCAGGGTGTTGAGGTGGGCTCAGCGATAAAGTCTGCGGGTGGGCCCGCGCTTGGTGAGTTACGTGACTCTTCACAGAAAACGCATGAATTTAAAAAAATAAATAAAAAAAAAAAGCTAATTGCCACACGCTGAAGAGCGCAAGCCTGAAACATTACACTATAATAAAAACCTTGCGTAAGCTACTCAAAAAAAGGGGGGGTAAGGTCTAAGTTTGGCTCACGGGGTCTTACGAGGGGGGAGGGGAGTCAAGTTAAGTCTTAGTGAGCCTTCCTCATTAAAAAAAAAATAATTATTTTGAATAGAGACAAAAAGTCGCCAGTTTTCACACTTTCTCTGTCACTTTCTGGAAAATTTGGGGGGGGGCAGGGGTTCAGGTCAGTTACTTGATTCCAAAGGGGATTGAAATGTAGTTGCACTGTTGCTTCACAAGGGGTGGAGGTTTAAAAAGTCGTCCAAAAAGCCGTAAAGTATTACTTGAATCGCTACCAGAGCGAATTAGCGATCAGTTAAATAATAAAGCGAAAACTGGCAACTATGGCGCTTTAGAAAAGAGCCTTTATAATGGAAATGATTGATTTTGGTCGTAAGTAGACGAGCAGAGGTGAATTAACCATCATTGCCATCATGTGCCACCTAAAATCGCCAGTTTACGATTCAAAACATAGGCGGCCGCGCGACCCGATCCGTTTTTGCGCTTTTGCTCCCTCAATTTTAAAGATAAACCTATGATGTAATATACCAAATCAACTCTAAAAGAACGATCTACAACTTTTACTGAAGGATATTTTTCGATCCGGGTCTTCATAAGGACGTAAATACGGAAAATGTCGGTCAATAATTCTCAATTTTCAATTTCTTTCAATTTTACACACCTTTAAATTACTTTGACATTTATAACTATAGTTTATTCAAAAAGTAGACTTAATTACCTACAGTTTAAAAAAACCGAGCTCTCCAAGTTTATTTCTCGCTCCGCAGTGAATTTTTGAAAATATGTCCAATTTTCAACTTCATCGGACCACTGTGCGGAATCCCCCGAGGGGATTTATGGGGACTTTCGGCTAAAAACACCATTTCATATGAAGAATCGATTGGGCCTAAGTCCAGCCGTATTTTAATTTTTGGCCGGAAACGGCCCCTATACGCGTTCGTTTACTGGACTATGCGTATAGATGTGCATTATTATCTGACTATCGGAGAATCGGATTTCTCTTTTGCCGTGTTTTTGAAACTTGCATTTCGTGCGCATCGCGTGTTTCTTTAAGACATTACAGAGTGTAGGAGGGGGGGGCAACATTTTCCGGGCACCAGGCGGCAAAAACCTAAATCCGGCTCTGCTGCTCGAATTCGGTCGGGCGCTTCGCCCCACCCCCCTCCTCTGAGGGTATGTTCTGAGCTACATTTCAGTCAGCCTTCCAAGATGCTTCAAAATGCATCAAAATGCTTCGTTTACTGGACTAGCAGGAAAGTGTTGTAGACAAATATTTTAGGGGTAGGAAATGATTCTTCAAGCACTGAGGATTTGAGGCACGAAAAAGGCGAAATTAAATTGAACATAGTAAAAAATTAAATTAAATGTTGATGCTAAAGTGCAAGATCTCGTATTTCCGTCCCGATGTTTCAGAATTTCCGCTTCTATTTTATTTTTCCAAAGAGAAACAAACAAATTTTATTTCCTCTGTGAAGTCAGCATGATCGGATGATCTTACACTGTTCGTACCTGCAAATCTATGTAGTGGGATTTTTTCTTTTAGAGGGTTGCCTTTGGCAGGATTTGACCACACTTGTTTCCCCATTGCTGTCATCACTACTGTTGGATTAACAGTATTTACTCGAATATTGTGTTCTCCTAGTTCTAGTGCCATAGCTCGAGTTAAACCATCCACGGCAGCTTTTGTTCCACAATAGACAGTATGCTCTGCTAATCCAGCCTGGGTAAAAAAATCAGATTTGCTGATCGCATAACAGAGTTTTTGATAACGGAAATTTCTTTACTATGTAGGTAGGTACCTACCTTCTACTAGAGTACCTGGGTGAATTCAAATAATAAGGGTCAAATTCCAGGTTCAATTTCCTCCCAAAATTTTTTTGTGAATTTTTGGGCAAACCAAACTTTATTTTGACTCTCATTAGGTATAGACTTAGGAAATATAGCTCGTCGAGCTTAATAGTTATGCTTAAACCCGAATTTCCACCGTCACGTGTATCACTTCCCAAAATTTGCTCTAATTTTGCCTGATTTCCCAAATTTTCATCTCAGAGGTGACATATAATACTTTTAATTGAAAATTGAACGCAATTGTCATAAAAGCATCGTCGAGCACTAAATTAAAGCATAATTGAAAACATGTTACCCTTTCATATCTTACAAAACCAAAAAAATTCATCCGTCATGAAAGATATCTGGAGCTTATTCTGCTTATGCTTTTAGACAGTTCCGTCTGTTTATCAAAATGCCTACTATTTTCCTTTAACACGAGAAGAAGCTTTTATTTCTTGGAATATTGCAATACAAAATTGATCAAAAACATCGAATTTTAAAACTTCAAGTGGGCGTGTACCCGCTGAAGTGGAGTTAAAGCCAGGAAAAGTTTGAGAAGTTGCATTAACATATCAATTAGGTACACTGGTCAAGTTTTTTTTTTTTTTTTTTTTTTTTTTTTGATTTTCCGAAGATTTGCCAACGGTTTCGGAGTAGATTTTTGGCGGTGATTCCGAAGATCACCTCCATTCACCTGTATCAGTGCGACTTATGCCGGGAAAGTTCGGAATTTTTCCGGAGAAAACGGAATTTTCCATAAAAATCTAGCTTTTCCAGCAGAGTCAATCTTCCGGGAGAATCTGTGCACCATGGAAAAAACCTAGGAATTTTTCGATTTCGTAGCCTAAGATACATAAGAAACCATGTATCGCACCCCCATTAAAATTTCCTTTCTTTTCCTAATGCCAAGGTTATCCGGTCCAGTTTCATTGAAATCAATTAATTAGTTACCGAGATAGTGCGGTTTTAAGCCACGGCCACCACCTTAGATTTTCGAATCTTGGAAATTTGACTAAAATTCGAGTTCCTCATTCAAAAATACCCGCGGGTACCAAGTTTCGCGTAAATCGATTGATTAGGCGCTGAAATAGCATTATAGGCCATGTTCGCAATCTTGGATTTTCGAATTTTGAAAATTCGACTAAAAATTCAAGTTTCCCATTGAAAAATACCGCCGGGTACCAAGTTTCACTTTAATCGACTGATTAGGTGCTGAGATAGCATTTTAGGCAACGTCCGCCATCTTGGATTTTCGAATTTTCAAAATTCGACTAAAAATTCGAGTTCCCCATTGAAAAATACCCCCGGGTACAAAGTTTCACTTAAATCGGTAGGAAAGAGCGCCTAGCAGGCAAAGTCTCAGTTGTAACAGTTATCCACTCTGTCCCACGAAACTGGGGCATGGGACAGGATGGAAACATATGGGACAGGATGGAACGGGACAAGATGGAACGGGACAGGATGGAATAAGCTGTTTTTTAAGCTTATCTCTAACAGTAAAGACAATTTTGGTGGTTTTTTTTCACGGAATATTTAGTAGCACATCCTAGAGGATCGGAATAAGAGAAAATTTTCCCTAACGCACACTTTCAAAGTATTTTACGAGCTGATATTAGTGTGTGTGTGTATGCTTGACGGCCTGTTAGTTATCGTGTATAGCATTTTGTTTGGCATCGTTAATGGCGTTAATCTTGCACAAAAATTTGCGATTTTCAGAATTTTTGCCACCTACGAGGTGTGAACTATTCAATCAAAACAAAAAAAGTCGATTTTGGAAAAACCTCAACGTTACGGCAATCATTTAGAGCTTATTACATCGTTGCCATGTCTCTCCTGACTGTTGCTGACTGTTGCTGACTGTTGCTCGGGACAATGATTCTAGCGCGTGAAAAATTTATTGATGGAGCAAAAAATAAATTGACATATTTTTTTTCTCAAATTCAAAAGCATTACCTATCATCTCCGATAAAGTTTTCGTAAATAATCACTCTAGTTATGCTGCAACATCGATTTAAAGTCAAGAACCAGGCACGGGGGACACGCAAATTTGGGACAAATGTAGGCAATTTGCACATTCAAAGTTCTCCTAAATTTGTATTTCAGTCCAAATAAAGTGGGAAATAGCATGTAATAGTCAACAATAGTGTGAAAAATGAGAAAAAAATTTGATCTGCCCATGTCTCTCAGATTATGACGATTAAAACAGCTGGGGACACCAGATTAGACGCTTATTTGAACTCACCCACCTTTACAGGGAGAGTATGGACAACACGATTTATGTAGCTCTTAGGGTCCAAAAAGGGCGAAAACGTGAAAAACGAAAATCACTAGAAAAGTGCCGCCGCCAACCTATATGCATTTGGAAGATTACTCAATATGGCCGACAGCGCATTTCAAACAAGCCTCTTTAAGGATTAAAACTTTGAAACTGAGAAAATGTAAGCGAAATCAAAGTTTTATACGTGTTTTTACAATTTTTAATCAGTGTAAAAAGTGGAAATGTGAAAAGCACACTCAAAAAAATAAGGTAGTCGACTCAACCAGCGGCTGGTTAAAAATGCACCAGCTACCGTGCGGTGGTTACGATAACTACCTCGGTGGAGGTCACAACTAACCCGGTAGTTACATCAACAATGGATGAGTCGCTGGTTGAGTCGACTACCCTATTTTTTCCGTGTAGTACCACTGGATAATTCGAGTTCATAGGTTGGCTCTACTTTAGGGCCCCAAGAGCTACACACAGATTTGTCCAGATCGCTAACATCAAATCTAGCCAAAAACATTGAATCACGTAGACCGTGCATCCTGTGTTACGGAAGGCGAGAGAACTTTTAAAAATTCGCATGCGATGAGTGGTGGCACCAACCCGCATCGATGAGTTCGTGTGTCCCAGTTGCGCACATCTGCGCATGCGCAGCAGCGGCTCCAGTGAATTTTCGTCGGATTGTGAGGCTTTTTTCCTCGGTTAATAATTAGTTCGGAAAAATGAAACAATGCTATTCGGGTGTAAAAGAGCTTGATGCAAAAACGGCTTTTTTCGCCCCCCTCTGGAAGTTCTTCAGACTTTGTCTATTGATTACTCATACTTGAGCGCTTCTTTTCCCAAATTTTCAGACCCCCAAAAAATTTTGGGGGGGAGCTAGGGGGGGTGGATGTCAAAACCTGTGAACCTCGATATCTCTTGAACAAAGAAAGATATCGAGGTCCGGTTTGGACGAAAAATCGTCTAAAATTGCATACTTCAAGATTCTGAAGGTCGAAATCCCGATATCACATTTTTAAGTCAACATATGTGCTTTTTTCCAGTTTTTAGGTCTAGAAAATTTCTTTTAAACGAAAAATTTACAAAGATCTCAATTTTTCATTTGAACCAAAACCAGTTTTTTAAATTGTTCGTCTTTTTCCGCATCCAACGAGTGGTCCATTAAGCTGGGGAACCAAACGGTTCCGGAGTTATGATAGATTGAAGTTTTCGCTCAACGCGCGCCGACCGATTTTCGCGTGCAAAAAAGTCGGATTTGACTGTTATTAGATCAGATTGAATGTTCAAACTGAGCAAAATGCTTTATTAGGGACTCTTGAGGGTCGCTGAGTTCAGAAATTACCGATACTTCCAAAAAATTCACGTTTTTTAAATTGCAGCTTCGGACAGGACCACTGAGCGGCCGGTCGGCGCTCAGTGGGCCTCTAAAATAGCGCTGCGGAGCTGTAATTTTAAAAACGTAAATTATTTGGAAGTATCTGTAATTTCTGAACTCAGCGACCCTCAAGAGTCCCTAATAAAGCATTTTGCTCAGTTTGAACATTCAATCTGATCTAATAACAGTCAAATCCGACTTTTTTGCACGCGAAAATCGGTCGGCGCGCGTTGAGCGAAAACTTCAATCTATCATAACTCCGGAACCGTTTGGTTCCCCAGCTTAATGGACCACTCGTTGGATGCGGAAAAAGACGAACAATTTAAAAAACTGGTTTTGGTTCAAATGAAAAATTGAGATCTTTGTAAATTTTTCGTTTAAAAGAAATTTTCTAGACCTAAAAACTGGAAAAAAGCACATATGTTGACTTAAAAATGTGATATCGGGATTTCGACCTTCAGAATCTTGAAGTATGCAATTTTAGACGACTTTTCGTCCAAACCGGACCTCGATATCTTTCTTTGTTCAAGAGATATCGAGGTTCACAGGTTTTGACTTCCACCCCCCCTAGCTCCCCCCCAAAATTTTTTGGGGGTCTGAAAATTTGGGAAAAGAAGCGCTCAAGTATGAGTAATCAATAGACAAAGTCTGAAGAACTTCCAGAGGGGGGGCGAAAAAAGCCGTTTTTGCATCAAGCTCTTTATGTGTTCTAAAACTTTTTTTCTTAGGAATTTTGTCTAAAAATGGACTCTAAACGAGATATTCGTGAAAAACCGAGCGCGGGCATGAATTCTCCGTTGCCTCTTTGCAGTCTCTTCGAGTGCTTGGGACACACGCTCTCTCTCCTTCCCCGCCCGCCCATCATGGGGCTCCAAGATGTGATGAATGGAATCGGTGTGATAACAGGAAGGAATGAAAAACTGAACACGTAGGGTTTAGGTATGAATGAAAGACTTACTGAACACCAAGAATAACTCGACAATACCTACTCATATAATACACTGAATCAAAGCTAGATCATAACTCTACGCGTGCCTCCTTCTTGGCGACCATGATAAGAACAACCACCCGACTCGGAGGTCTACGAACACCGCCCACACTCCTCCCAGGAATTGGTGAATGCTGGACATGACACGAGAGACTTGCTTCGCTCCGCCTGTACTAAACCGAGCCGGACGCACGGTCTACGTAATTCAATGTATTTGAATCTAGCCAATGCTTAGAAAGCATAGAGTACCTACATAGAGTCGTAATGTAAATGGGAAAGCTGGCGCCATGTTCTGCTCGACGAATTCCGAGCCCGGTGAGCGCCGAGTTCGGGTCGCTTTTTCGATACATTTCCGATCCAAAATGGCGGTGTGGAATACGTGGTAATTCCTATCTCCTTTGTTGTGGTTGATGTTGTTGTTGTTGTTGTTGTTGTCATCGGATGGCCGGGTACCCGTGTATCGCAAACAATCGATTATGTATCGAAAAAGTGACCCGGCGTCACACAGGAGTCTCGGAATTCGGGACATGGAAAATGCTTAAAAGTGGAAATATTCCCTAGAACGACAGATATGTGACGTAGCACCGGAGTCAATGACCCATGTTTTGACGACACCGTCGTACAAATTGTTTGCCATAAGCACATGTTTACCATTCTTATTTCTCTTATTTTTCTCATCACTTTCATTCTTATCTCTAAAAAAAAATTGTGCCTCTAGATGATTAGTCTTCTTACAAATTCCACAAGGAGGATGAGACCCTTTATTTTTGTTATCAGTTTTATCACGCGCACTGCCATTTTTATTTCTACAAAATTTGGCAACATGATTCGATTTGTTACATAGATTACAGACAATTTTATCCCTACATTCTTTCAAACGGTGCCCTACTCTATTACAATGGGCCTGTTGCAAACTTTTGCTAGAGCAGAATGAAGAGTTGTTTCCTATGGATAATGCCTCAATAGTCACTTAGGGCAAGGCCTGGAGAGTATGGAGGATGTGGTGACATCACCCACGCAAAGTCCAACAAATTTTGGGTCTCTTTTGCCGTGTGACGTCTGGCATTATCGTGCAGGAATAGGGGACCACGAGACCAGAGACCCGGTCGCTTGTTTTTTATTGCCAATCGCAACGAATTCAATATTCCACATTACCGTGGTGCATTGATTGTACACCCTTTCTCCAAATAATGGACGAGAAGTACTTCTTTAGAGTCCCAGAAGACAAAAGCGACGCGACAGCGCGCGGTGCATCTCATATTAGCGCGTCGTTTGGTGGACGGAACTGGCCGGGAGTTGTTCACGTAAAAATCGAATATCTCTGCAACCAGTGGTCCAAATTTAAAAATCTTGGTACCTATGGAGAGCTGAGGATATAAGTAAGAAGTTTCTTTTTACCGATTTGATTTATCCCTTTTAGTTTTGGAAATATGAAAGGGGTGAACTTACTTTTTGGATGACCCTCGTAGTACAGGCGGAGCGAAGCAAATCTCTCGGAGCCCCATGATGGGCGGGCGGGGAAGGGGAGAGAGCGTGTGTTCCAAGCCATAGAATAAAGAGACTAACGTCAAAAGAAGCCGAAAGCTACCGCCATTTTCATGTCAACGAAGCATAACGAAAGGAGGCTGTTTCAATACCTAAGTACTGTTTACGTTTGCGGTAGGTCGACGTTTTGGAGAGGTCGAATAATAACGGATACATACGTTTTAAGGAATTGAAAGAGTTTTCTTTTAACTTATTTATCGTTAAACTGAAGAAGTACTGTAAATTCGCTTAAAATTTAATGTTTTTTTCCACTTTTTTATTTGTAGGTAACCTTGAAATTGGTTTCAATAAGGACCGACTCTGAGAAGAAAAATGTTAACATTGGTTCTTACGGAGCTTTCGCTTCTGTTGCAAGCACTCGAAGAGACTGCAGAGAGGCAACGGAGAATTCATGCCCGCGCTCGGTTTTTCACGAATATCTCGTTTAGAGTCCATTTTTAGACAAAATTCCTAAGAAAAAAAGTTTTAGAACACATAATTTTACACCCGAATAGCATTGTTTCATTTTTCCGAACTAATTATTAACCGAGGAAAAAAGCCTCACAATCCGACGAAAATTCACTGGAGCCGCTGCTGCGCATGCGCAGATGTGCGCAACTGGGACACACGAACTCATCGATGCGGGTTGGTGCCACCACTCATCGCATGCGAATTTTTAAAAGTTCTCTCGCCTTCCGTAACACAGGATGCACGGTCTACGTGATTCAATGTTTTTGACAAATGGACATCCACTGCGAACTGAATACCTACTACGATAAAAGGCAAAATCTTACCAAGGAAGCTTGAGAAGAAACATTCACGATGCTTCCTTGTTTTTTTTCAATCATCTTGGGAACAACTGTCTGCGTAACGTTAATCAAAGCCTTCACATTGATGTTGAATGATCTGTAGGCACCAAGGGAAAAAGAAGAGGAAAATTTATCATATTGAAAGGTACCTAGATTGGATAAAAATTAAAGTCCTTTTATTTTTCATGACATAAGTAAGCTTGGTGTCGTTATACCTACCTACCTGAAAAGAATTTGCATAGTATGAATAAACCTCCAGTTATAAGTAAATACTTAAAGTCGCTATTTTTGGTTCTACCAACTAAGTTTGCTTAGAGTTTGCTTAATGTTGGCTACAATGAAGCGCTCATCCGTTGCGTTGGGTCAATATGGCCTGGTTACACGATCAAATTCCCGTCAAATTCCGATCAAAATGATGACCAAGATGGCGGTCGAGAGTTATCTAGACTGATGAGTAAAATTAATTAAAACACCGTGTTGATTGAAATAAGCATGAAATAAGCATGAAATACCCTAGTAGCACAGCTCCCCTATATTATACCCATAATATACATATATATACATATTTTATAGATGTTTTATACTTATATTATAAATATATATACCTATTTTATACCTATAATCTACCTATATTATAGGTATAAAGATTATATTAGTTTGCGCTATATTCTACATATATTATAGGTATAAATATATATTTTATACCTATAAAAGATGTATTAGGAATTTGTAGGCCNTAAGCTTGGTGTCGTTATACCTACCTACCTGAAAAGAATTTGCATAGTATGAATAAACCTCCAGTTATAAGTAAATACTTAAAGTCGCTATTTTTGGTTCTACCAACTAAGTTTGCTTAGAGTTTGCTTAATGTTGGCTACAATGAAGCGCTCATCCGTTGCGTTGGGTCAATATGGCCTGGTTACACGATCAAATTCCCGTCAAATTCCGATCAAAATGATGACCAAGATGGCGGTCGAGAGTTATCTAGACTGATGAGTAAAATTAATTAAAACACCGTGTTGATTGAAATAAGCATGAAATAAGCATGAAATAAGCACGGTTGTGTGGAAATCGGATGAAGGATGAGCCCCACAGTTCCATCATCTACCATCACATTTTTGCAGGCCGCAGAAATTGGATAGTAGATGGTGCGCACCAGTCACCATTTGATCGGAAATTGATGGGAATTGGAGCGTGTAGCCAGCACAATAGATTACGAAGTGATCTCTTGAGTTTTTTACGAGCCAAAAGCGCCCAGCCCACCCAAAAACTAGCTAGAGCCTACAAACTGGTTCATCGGTGCTTCAAAAAATTTCTTGCAGTAGTATGGCTAAGAATTTGAAGAATTAGTGCAAGTTTGTGAGTGTTGACTAAGTTTGACAGTGGTCTGGACGCTTAACGCTCTAAACCATGAATGTTCTCCCAATGCGTGTATAGGTATTTATTCTTAAATCCCCAACAAACATCTTAAAATAATTCAGAACGTTCCCACGGTTTTGTACACATACGTTACTTTAAAATCCAGTGTGTATTTGTAATGTAACACTGTGTAGAAAAATGGATTGATAAGTCTGGTAACCCAAGAGGGATCTTACACGTCTTCCTTTCTTGTCTCCATTTTATAAATAATCATGGGCACCGGTCTCCTCATCTCATCAGTACTGTCACTGGTAAGTAAGGTTTTTTTTTTTTTTTTTTTTTTTTATCATATCATCAATGATTGATACTAGGTACCATTTTAACGGGTAGGACTCCTACCCGGCTTCCAGGATTCGTCTCCAAGAATCCTCTCAAACGCGAGTACAACGCCTCTTCTGGAGCCTCTCGAGAGGCTCCAGGAGAAAAGCTTTTTTTGAGCTTGGGAGTTGATTTCAGAGAAAACTAGAGTCCCTTTTATACTCAGAGTTAAGACAACTCACTTTTGGTTGGGCCAGGGTTGGGCTGAAAGTGGCCTATAAAAAAATCCAATTCTGGGCCGAAACGAGTGCACCAAGATGGCGGTACCTTGAATGTGAATAATGAATAATGAGAATATTACCAAATTGTGGTTTATCAAGAGTAAATTGTTATTGCCATCGGTCCAAAATGAAAATAGATTAAGAAATTATTCACAAACCAATCTCATTTTCTTTTTAATTGATCAATGTGTTGATGTTGTTTTTGTGTGACAGACATCGCAGGATTCCTGATCCTTATCCCTCAATATCGTTCGTTTGGGTGCACTCGTTTCGGCCTCCATGGCCAGCCAAGGCCGGCTGCCAGTCAGCTGATAATCGAGTTGTCTTAACTCTGGGTATAAAGGGACTCTAGAGAAAACCAGTGGCACCATCGTGTTTCTCGCGAACTTTTACATAAGAATCAATGGTCAAATCGCAAATCCCTCACACATGCAACATCATCATCCATTCACATGTGTGACGCAAGATCGTGTAGGTGCGACGCAAAAATTTTGAGTGCGCTGTATAATATTTTGTGTGTGCGACTCAACATTTATGTGCGCTGCTCAATAATTCATGTGTGCGGAGAGAACGAATGAAAACGAAAGTAACTCGTCCTTCACCCACGGAGCTTCGATATATTTCCGCCGGTGGCCCGAGAACTGTGTCATCACACACGCAGCTTTCGATATATCGACTTTGGCGTGCGCGAAGAAAAATAATTTTCTCGATCTGTGGTGACTGTTGATCACCGGAATGTCAATACACCGTTGGAGGGGAGGACAAACTTCGTTGCCGAGTTTATTCTTATTGTTATTATTTTCTTTTGCGGCAGAAAGTGAAAGTGAAGTGAAGTGGGGTATAATTTTCCCTCCAAGAACCGAAACCATCGTCTTCGAAAGTCGGAACCGTCGGAGTCGGTTCGAAACGGAAACAGGTTCATAATTCCATTATAGTAGGTATTTGGTACTAAGTTAACTCTTATTTTACAGTAAGCAATATGAATGTACATAGGCTGTTCAAAAATTTTTGCACACTTCCGGGTTTTGGGCGAACGAAAGCAGCTCTCGATTTGCGGTTTATGTGTGCTTAAAGTAGACGTAATTACCAATAAAACAAGACCAATAACAACTCTCTGGCTTAAGAAATAACAGAGATACAGGGTTTTGAAAATGACATGTAGCGTGACCGCCTCCAGGATTTTTAGCTGCAAATATGTTTAGGTATCAAGGAAAAAAAATTGAATGAGAATTGAGTGTTTTTATTGAAAAAACATACAAAATCTTACGGAAATTGACGAACTTCAAGTTTCTTCATCGGATGACACGGATGACACGGATGACTCAACATTCGGCTGTTTTTCGAAGACTTTTCCACCACTTTGAGCACAAAGCTTCAGCCGTTCTGCCCACTTCACAAGGATCGCGTATTTTCGAAGTCTCCTTGACGGAGGCTTTTGAAGAATCTTTGAACAGCGGCGCGCGCCGCTGTTCAAAAATTCACCTCACCCGCTTCATGAAGCCGGTGAAAGTGACACCTATGGTCGACATGTGTGTCGATTCCTTTGTATTTTTGGTCGAAAAGTTCAAATATGTGCTTAAAAATGTACTCCGACTTCTTAAAGACCCTTAAATCCAAGATGGCGGCCAAATCTCACCTCCTGAAAGTCAAACGGGCACGTGTGCACGTATATGGCATGTGAGGTATCCTTCATACCATTTCTTGGGACGTAAAATCGAGAAATGATGTTAAACAATCCTTTGCGCTTCATTTAAGGCCTCAAATTTCAAGATGGCGGCCAAAATTGCCAAAATTTGGAAACCAAAAATGCTGTAATAGCTTCTCATATCTTGTGACGTATCGAACCCCATAGATGTCTGGTCGCAGAATCCAAATCTTGAATTCAAAATTCACCCCGGCCCCTTGGGAAGTATATTACTTTAAATATTTCTTAAATCCACGCGCTTCACGCCTTTTAGCCGCAATTCTTAAAACTAAAATGTCGCAAATTGTAAAAGGAAGGTTACTTTAACCTTCATTTCTGAATTCTACGACCGAATAAACCTGTGAATGGATACATAGCTTGCTTTTCTGAGGTCAAGGGTGACTGTATCATCCTGTAAGCGATAATTCCGACGGCCATCTTGGGTTTTGGACTTCCCATGGGGCTGGAGTGAATTTTGAATTCAAGATTCGGATTTTACGACCTGAAATCTATGGGATTCGATACGTCACATGATATGAGAAGCTATTATAGAATTTATGGTTCCAAAATTTCCGAAATTTTGGCCGCCATCTTGGAATTTGAGGCCTTAAATGAGGCTCAATGGAATTTTAAAATTATTTTTCGATTTTACGGCCCAAAAAATGGTACGAAGGATACCTCACATGCCATATAGGAGCACACGTGCCCGTGGGACTTTCTGGCGGCGAAATTTGGCCGCCATCTTGGATTTACGGGTCTTTAAGAAGTCGGAGTTTATTTTTAAGCACATATTTGAACTTTTTGAACGAAAATACAAAAGAATCAACATACATGTCGACCATAGGAGTCAATTTGACCCACTTCACCCCCGTGGCGGTCACTTTTGGCGCCATCTTGAATTTAACGGTGTTCCGGGGAAGTCCCGGAGCACGTATAGTCCCGTGGGACCGTTAAGATTCGGATTTTACGACCAGAAATCTATGGGATTCGATACGTCACAGGATATGAGAAGCTATTATAGAATTTACTAGTCGTGATTAGCTCGCTTAGCGAGCTGACATGTCTAGCCGGGGAGTGCCCCTGGACCCCAGTTCTACGCTTCGCGAAGAACTTGCGACTCGCTCCGCGAGCCGCCACCGCCCCGCACAGTTTTTAACATTGATGAGGAGACAACATCTATGTCTTAATCTTCTTTTTCACCAAGTTTTACAGAAATTGATGTTCTAGGAGTACGGACCGCGTTTTCGTGCGGGGCCGCCATCCTGGATTCGGAAATGGTGAAAGTCTGACCAAAAATGCGAGTTTGCCGTCGAAAAACACCTCCTAATACCGAATTTTTCAAAAATCGATGGATCGGAAGCCGAGATAACAACTTAGATAACGATCGCCATTTTTGATTTTTGAATTTTGAAAATCGGACCTAAAATTCTAATTTCCCTTCGAAATACACCTCCTAATACCGAGTTTCACAAAAATCGATCGATATCAAGAAGCGATGTAGCATTTTAGACCACGGCCGCCATCTTGAATTTTTGAATTTTGAAAATCTGACCAAACATTCTAGTTTCCCGTCGAAATATACCCCCGGATACCGAATTTCACGAAAATCGATCGAACAGGAGCCGACTTAGCATTTTAGGCCACGGCCGCCATCTTGGATTTTGAGTTTTTGAAAATCCGACCAAAAATTCGAGATCCCCGTTGAAAAATACCCCCGCTTACCAATTTCCACAAAACTCCGTTGAAAAATATCGCCTAAAACCTTATATTTCGTCTATAAGGCAGTGACGTCACGCAACAGGATTGAACCTGTTCGGCGCGATGCGTGTAAACAACCGCGTATCTCCAATGTAACACTATATGGAGAAACAACTTTTCGCTCTTGCAGGCGTCCTAAGCAGCGGATTTGAATGGGAATAATTTTAATCAACTCCTCATTACAATAGCTAAGCGTGTACCAATTTTAAAGGAAATCGCTTCGGCCAATTTTTATCTAGGGGGGGCATTGTGAGTGGGAACATCAGCTTTATATAGAGTAATAATGGTTCCAAAATTTCCGCAATTTTGGCCGCCATCTTGGAATTTGAGGCCTTAAATGAAGCTCAATGGATTTTTTAACATTATTTTTCGATTTTACGGCCCAAAAAATGGTATGAAGGATACCTCAGATGCCATATAGGAGCACACGTGCCCGTGAGACTTTCTGGAGGCGAAATTTGGCCGCCATCTTGGATTTACGGGTCTTTAAATAGTCGGAGTTTATTTTGAAGCACATATTTGAACTTTTCGACCAAAATTACAAAGGAATCGACATACATGTCGATCATAGGCGTCACTTTTACCCACTTCAACCCCGTGGCGGCCACTTTTGGCGCCATCTTGAATTTAACGGTGTTTCGGGGAAGTCCGGGAGCACTTGTAGTCCCGTGGGACCGTTAATGATACAAGTTGGCGAGATGGCTTGATATCTTCGATTTGATGTCCTGAAACAGAATTTCGATGTTGCCAGGCTCATTTTTCCCCGGAACCCCCCTAAATTCAAGATTGCTCCCAAAATGGCCGCCACGGGGATGAAGTTGGTGAAAGTGACTCCTAAGATCAACATGTATGTCGATTCCTTTGTATTTTTGGTCGAAAAGTTAGAATATGTGCTTAAAAATGTACTCCGACTTCTTAAAGACCCTTAAATTCAAGATGGCGGCCAAATCTCGCCTTCTGAAAGTCAAACGGGCACGTGTGCACCTATATGGCATGTGAGGTATCCTTCATACCATTTCTTGGGACGTAAAATCGAGAAATGATGTTAAACAATCCTTTGCGCTTCATTTAAGGCCTCAAATTTCAAGATGGCGGCCAAAATTGCCAAAATTTGGAAACCAAAAATTCTATAATAGCTTCTCATATCATGTGACGTATCGAACCTCATAGATTTCTAGTCGTAGAATCCAAATCTTGAATTCAAAATTCACCCCGGCCCCTTGGGAAGTATATTTCTTAAATTATTTCTTAAATCCACGTGCTTCACGCCTTTTAGCCGCAATTCTTAAAACTAAAATGTCGCAAATTGTAAAAGGAAGGTTACTTTAACCTTCATTTCTGAATTCTACGACCGAATAAACCTGTGAATGGATACATAGCTTGCTTTTCTGAGGTCAAGGGTGACTGTATCATCCTGTAAGCGATAATTCCGACGGCCATCTTGGGTTTTGGACTTCCCATGGGGCTGGAGTGAATTTTGAATTCAAGATTCGGATTTTACGACCAGAAATCTATGGGATTCGATACGTCACATGATATGAGAAGCTATTAAGAATTTATGGTTCCAAAATTTCCGAAATTTTGGCCGCCATCTTGGAATTTGAGGCCTTAAATGAGGCTCAATGGATTTTTTAACATTATTTTTCGATTTTACGGTCCAAAAAATGGTACGATGGATACCTCACATGCCATATAGGAGCACACGTGCCCGTGGGACTTTCTGGCGGCGAAATTTGGCCGCCATCTTGGATTCACGGGTCTTTAAGAAGTCGGAGTTTATTTTTAAGCACATATTTGATTTTTTCGACCAAAAATACAAAAGAATCAACATACATATCGACCACAGGCGTCACTTTTACCCATTTCACCCCCGTGGCGGCCACTTTGGGCGCCATCTTGAATTTAACGGTGTTCCGGGGAAGTCCCGGAGCACGTGTAGTCCCGTGGGACCGTTAATGATACAAGTTGGCGAGATGGCTTGATATCTTCGATTTGATGTCCTGAAACAGAATTTCGATGTTGCCACTTGCCAGGCTCAATTTTCCCCGGAACCCCCCTAAATTCAAGATTGCTCCCAAAATGGCCGCCACGGGGATGAAGTGGGTGAAAGTGACTCCCATGGTCAACATGTATGTCGAATCCTTTGTATATGTGGTCGAAAAGTTCAAATATGTGCTTAAAAATGTACTCCGACTTCATAAAGACCCTTAAATTCAAAATGGCGGCCAAATCTCGCCTCCTGAAAGTCAAACGGGCACGTTTGTTCCTATAGGGCATAGCAGATTTATATAAAAAAAATTTTAACGAAAGTATGCTACTTATGTAACGGTTTTATAATTTTTAAGTAACGGGATGTTCAAAGGTAACCGCGCCGTCGTATAACCGTTATCAATCAAATAATTTTATAAATTGCGCGAATAACCTTTATAATTATAGTTTAATAAAATTTATTTGTAAACATGTTTTATATAACCGTTATGCTTCAGTTATACATTTTATATATAAATACGCTCTTTATTTATATTTTATATAATTGTCATACTTTGATTATACATTCTTTATTTAAATACGCTCTTTATATAACGATTATACTTCCCTTATATACTGAGAATTTAGCTCTGCTACTAGGGGCGGTTTTGATCAGGCTTTGGAATGGCTCTTTCCTGAGTTAAAGAAATTTCTGAGAGGCATATGCACGGTTTGATTCCGTAGCCTAGATCAAAACCGCTGTTCAAAAATTCTTCAAAAGCCTTCGTCTAGAAGACTTCGAGAAGACGATCCTCGTGAAGTGGGCAGAACGGCTGAAGCTTTGTGCTCAAAGTGGTGGAAAAGACTTCGAAAAACAGCCGTATGTTGAGTCATCATGAAGAAACTTGAAGTTCGTCAATTTCCGTGAGATTTTGTAAGTTTTTACAATAAAAACACTCAATTCTCATTTAACTTTTTTTTCCTTGATACCTAAACATATTTGTAGCTAAAAATCCTGGAGGCGGTCGCTAGGTGTCATTTTCAAAACCCTGTATCTCTGTCATTTTTTAAGCTAGAGAGTTGTTCTTGGTCTTATTTTATTGATAATTATGTCTACTTTAAGCACACATACTTAAACCGCAAATCGATAGCTGCTTTTGTTCGCCTAAAACCCGCAATTGTGCAAAACTTTTTGAACACCCTATGTATGTTGTTTTGAAAATGTGATTTCCGGATGTTGACTTTTGGAATCTTAAAGTATGCAATTTTAGACGATTTTTCGTCCAAACCGGACCTCGATATCTTTATTCGTTCGAGAGATATCGAGGTACACAGGTTTTGACTTCCACCCCCCCCCCCCCCCCCCCCCCCCCCCCCCCCCCCCCCCCCCCCCCCCCCCCCCCCCCCCCCCCCCCCCCCCCCCCCCCCCCNGGGGGGGGGGGGGGCTGAAAAAAGCTGTCTTCGCATCAAGCTCTTTGATTTAAACTTGTCCTCTTGATTTTTCCACATTTCTTGCTCTGAACTCGTTTTGAATGCTTAAAACGAGCACATCAATAACGTTGGGACGGTGACTTTTTAAAAGAAACCTACTTTTTGGATCGGCAACCAGCTAGGATCTCCATAAAGTTGGGATTTAGCGGAGATTTTCTTGCACCGCAAATAAGTTACGTAGCTGCGGACTTGCACCGTCAATATTTCTTGAAATATTTTTTTAAAAAAAATCGAAAGACGCAAAGTGATACTATACCAATTTCAAATTCAATTCACCTGTCAATTTGTTCCTCGGTGATTTGCAGAAGCGGAGCATTTAGTGCAATGCCCGCATTATTCACTAGCCCATCAATATTATTTATGCATGTCAGAGCTTGTTTTGTTTCTTGCCAGTTTGACAGATCAACTTGGACTGGCAGAATGTTACAATTTTCATGCACCAACTCATCAAGATGATTTTGAGTGCGAGACAGTGCTATGACAGTTGCACCATTATCAGCCAATTTCAGACACAGTGCTTTTCCAATGCCTAGACGAAAATTTAGGAACAGTCAGTGGAGCATTATACAGGGTTATTCAAAAGTTACGCACCACTGGCCATAACTTTAGTTCTAATTATGATATCGATTTGCGGTTCGTGGCGTCCTTCCTCATATCGAGGGGGAAACTTTTTGAGGTACTTTTCAGTTCTTCACCCCCCCCCCCCGGGGGGGGGGGGGGGGGGGGAAGTAGCTAACATTGATCGATGAACATACCAGATTGAAGTTTTTGGTGAATCGCGACATCAGTTAGCAAGTAATAATTCTGTTCAATTGAGAGCTCACGAACCTGATTTTTATTTTGAAATTTTTCTCATTGAAATCATGCAAACCATTTGTTGAGGGGTATGAAACAAGCTAGAAATCTGGTGCTCATTTGCTCGTTATTCCAAGGATGGCGGCACGTGCTGCGCTTTAATTGCGAAACTCACGACCGTCACAAATAACTAAAACTTGAGTGGGGAAAACTATGTAAAAAGAAAGAAAAAAAAAGAAAAAAATCCAAAAACATTGGGACCATACTTACATGTTTTTAGATCCCAGAAATCGTTGTAAAAAAATAAAATACAATACAATTTAGGAATTCATTTTAGAGGTAGACGAATTCCGGTTGTCGTAAGTAAGCATCTTTTGACATAATAATTGATGAATTTGGAACATCTCATTTGCGGTATCCATCTCAATACTTCATGTAAAGTGAGAACTTGAAGTGAACTTCAGGAGAATTTTCTTTTTATAAAGTTCTTTTTCTACAGGAATTACTGTCACATCAAAAACCTTAACCATTTGAAAAACTACTGAATAAAAACATACGCAAGGGAAAAAGAGTGCATTTGAGACTTGCCCTATTAATTCACCAAACAATGCCCGATCTTTTCTTGAAATTTCAAGCCCCCCCAAAAATTTTGGGGAGTCATGGCAAGAGGTCAAAGTTGAAAATCAGCAAAATTTTCGCGAATTTGTTACTTGAAAACCAAGGAGTGTTAAAAAACGCAGTTTAGAAGAGCGCTTTCAGCTTTCAGAAAATGTACAATACTAAAGGATTTTGTCAATATCAGCTCGAGTTATCACCTCCAAAGCGCTGGAACGCTAAAAAAAAACCACTTTTTTTCCACGTATAGGCCGCTTCCAAAAAAAGCCATTTTTTTTTTAATTTTGATGAAAAACTGATACGTATTTTCTAACTCTCTGTAACCCCTCTAGCTCTTTACCGTATGCCGGGGACATGTTTTGGTCGCGAGTTATCAGAGCGGAAAGGAGCGAAGGTCGGGAAAATTGGCTGATGTAAACTGCGCGTGCGGCGTTATAGAATACCCCAGAATACCTACCCACCAAACCAAGTTTTAATATAATGGTTTGAACTTGCGTCGATGTAGCATTTCAGGAAAATGGGCCATCGTGGATGATCGAATCTTGAAAATGTGACTGAGAATTCGAGTTCACCGTTATTCATGCTTCTTGTTATCTACGCCTACTACAATCCAGGGGAAAGGCATCANCTCAAAAAGTTTCCCCCTCGATATGAGGAAGGACGCCACAAACCGCAAATCGATATCATAATTAGAACTAAAGTTATGGCCAGTGGTGCGTAACTTTTGAATAACCCTGTATTTGAGATTATGAACATAGACTCAAAGAGATTTATGTTAAGGATACCTAATATGAGAACTGGATTTATACAGGCACAGGGCCGCCCTAACCTACTGTACCAATAGTATGTTGCCTACACAAAAACATCTTCAGTGTTTGACCGGGTGATGGCAAACTGCCACTCGGGTCGGGAATTTAGGGAAAATGCCATGAAAACTGCCACCCATGTAAAGACAACTGCCTCCCGTACGGACAAGTGCCGCCGGCATGAATTTCGGCCGCAGTAGATAATGAATCTTCACGATTTTATAAAAAGAATTTCTCTCAAATTCAGTAAAAAATAGAAAAAATGATGAGAGTAAAAAAAAATAAAACAAAGAAAAAAACTTCTAAAGGAAAAAAAACTTCCAAACGTAAAACTAATTCTAGAAAAACTGACAGTGACACGTAAAAAAATTGCTTGTTTTCAATTTCAAAACTTTAAATAAGAAAGGGGAGACTATGTTTCTTTACTATTTTAAAATTTTAAACTTTGACGAGATTTTACTCAAACCAAAACTTTTAAACACGCCTGTTGAAAATGATCACTCATTTCTTATTTGATTTTCTAGAAATGATTTTTATCTAAGTAAGCTTTTCAACAGACAGTCCTCAGCCTGTTTAAGTGTGAAGGGAAGTTTTGGTTCTACGTTTGCAATCTCGCACCGCGTGGCCGCAAGACGCGTCAGTCCGGTGGCAGTTGTTATAATTACAATGGTGGCAGTTTTCATGACGGATGGCAGTTGTAAAATTTACTCGGGTGGCAGTTATCCGTAATCCTAGGAAATGAGTGGCATTTTGCCGAATCCCGTTTGACCAGATACAGATATATATGTGTCTCCTCCTCCCCCCCCCCCTCCTTCTATCTTCTGATTCTACATTCTTGAATTAAGTTAGTGAGACTTCAGCATCGAATAATTTATTTCTTACAGAGAAAAATAAAATAAGATAAATATGTTTAGGTATACCTACCTTGACCTGCTCCTGTAACTAAAATAGTTTTTCCTGCCACACAAGACATAATGAAACGAAAAAATAAAATGTCTCAAGGACCATACATGTAAAACAAGTTAAACTTTCCTGCGTCTGAGTTGCGTGCTTGTACTTGCACGCCGCACAATACCACACGACTGGATGTATCAGACGAGAGTTGATCCGGGCAAATTTAATCTTGGTAAGTAAATACAAATGAATTGTAAGACGCAGCAGACGTCACGTTTATAGAGGCAAGGATCAAGGTCGCTCTCAACAAACTTGCATGCTCCGCCAATAGATCGTATTCGATACATCAAACAGGTGAGATGGTATCGATATCGATTGGTTCAAAACATAAACATAGCCTCAAAAGTCAATTTAGAAATCGGAGGGAACGGGTCATTTGAAGCAGATGTTTTATTCTTTTGAGTACCAAATGCCAATGCAAAGTGAAATTGTAAGGAATTTTCTCATTTTCAGCTTTTCCAACTTAAATCCGAACAGTTTGATTTGAAGTTATGTCCTATTGTTTTGAACCAAACGATACATCGAACCACTATCGAATACGGTCTATGAACATTGCCATATATACATACCGAGACTCATATTTAGAATTTAGATGACAGAGATGGACAAGAAAAGTTACAAAAACAGCTGGTGTCCGCCTCCGAGTCTCCGACCCGACCCGCAAATTCAAACAGATAACATTTCCCGCGCAAACAAGGCTGTCACCTTTTGAAACAAAAATAAATCCAATCAGTGCCAGATTTATGACCTTTTTTTTATTCGATGTGGTGTGAGATATCGACTTATGTTTACGCGCTCCGTAAAGAGGAGATTAATGGAGTATGTAGGTGTCCTACTGCAACCTTAAGTAGCTCGAATTGCGATTCACACTCTCTAAAATTTTACCCAATTAATGTTTTGAAACGAAACTTTGGGGATGTCCATAGATAATTGTTAGCTTCTTTAGGGACCCACCAAAATTGTCCCCCCCCCCTCCAACGATGAGGGCGGGCTACAGACCCAAACTTTTTTTTTCGAAGGGCAATCCCCCTGTCTGACACATTAATCGAAAGAAGGAAAAAGAAGACCCCGAGTTAGGTTTGGCGCAAACTTCAAGTCAAAATATTGATATTTGAGAAAATGGCGGCCGGTCAAAGTTAAAAATTACGGAAATTTGACATCTCGGTTTTTGTTGACGGATTGGGGTGAAACTTGGTGCCTGGGTTTTTTGGGACAAGAATAACGATTCTGGTATTAGTTTTCAGGAAAATTCTGTCCTTTCAAATATGGCGGCAATAAAAATGGGCGACCTAAGAGTGGTAATTAAGGGAATATTTAGGCGTTTTTTGGTGGATTTGTGAGAAACTTGCTATTCGCAGGTATTTTGGCACGAGGAAAACTAATCTTGCATTGGATTTTTGGAATTTTGAAGAACTTAAAAATGGCGGTAACTTGATATTACATACGTTTACGGATGGATTCGCATGAAACTCGGCCGCCATTTTGTACCTAAGTATTTATCATTTCGAAAATTTAATGTGGAAGAGTCGTTTTTTTTTTCGAGTCAGAAACAAACAGGACCCTGGGTTTCATGTAAATCGTTTTCCTTGTCCCAAAAAACCCGGATACCAAGTTTCATCTCAATATCCGTCAACAAAAACGGAGATGTAAAATTTCCGTAATTTTTAACTTTGACGGGCCACCATTTCCTCAAAAATCAAGATTTTGACTTGAGGTTTGCGCCAAAAATGTTCCTCTTTTATCTTCTTTCGACTGATGTGTCAGACAGGGGGGAGGGGACTCGAAAATTTTGGGGGGTCTTAAATGAAGCTAACATCCCATCCAGAGTTGCTAAAAGAAATTTCATCGAATGAAATTTCATGAAATTTCTTTTTTCCCAATGAAATTTCTTCCGACCGACAAAATGTCAAAAATGCTTATTTATTCTAACAGAATTTGTTTTTATTTTTAAAGAGAATAATATTCGTCAATTAGACCAATTGGAGCGCGGTCTTCTCTCAGCTCTTCTCCTCTGGTCTAGTCTTTTACTCTTTCTCTTCTGGCAGTTCTGGCTCATCAAGGGGAGGGGGACCGGGGACCCTAACCTCAAATTTCAAACTGTTAATTTCTGAAAAAGTCATTTCAATTGTTTCAAGGATAGTTCAAGATCCCTCCCTCCCTTTTGTACCAAAAAAGAAGGATATACTATAAGGGGGTGCCTACTAGGATTCTTTATAGTCAAGACATTTGTTTTGCTCCAAATATGAAAGCAACGTCTTACTTTATCCGTAAAATTTATTTTGGTGTTCAACTGGTACGGCTGTGTGTTCAACCAAAATTTAAGAAAAAAAATTCAAAATTATGTTTTTGCTATTTTACTCAACTTTCTGGGCATTTCTAAAGTTCCCTTTCACAGTTTACCACGTGCATATAAATGAGCTTTAGGAGATTCATAAGTTTCAAGGGTTTAACCCTGAATTCTGCGTGTTAAATGAAATTTCATGAGATTTCATGAAATTTCTTTTTATAATCTTTCATGAAATATCTTAACTCTGATCCCATCCCATCCCATCCCATCCCATCCCATCCAATCCAATCCCATCCCATCCCATTCCATCTCACCTATAATATATATACTATATATATAGTAATAATAGTTACCCGACCTATGTCGTCAATTCTTTAGTTCACGATAACTATCGTTAGATTTACGTTAGCCTATTCAAATTTTGTAATTTTGTCCGTTTTGGTCTTATAAAGAACTGTATAGATTTATGGTTAAATCGCACTTACCGTTAAACGGTAATTAACGTAAGTGCCCTACTTACCTACGCCGTTTTCCACTTATCTGTTTTTATGCAAGTTTCATTCCTTGGTTTCCTTGGTAACCTTTGTTTGCTATCAGCTGATGTTTTATTTGAATTTCTTTTTTTCATTTTTTTTTAAATAAATCATTGCTAGGTTAGGTCTAATTTTTTTGCCAGCATTTATTCTGCCTTCCCCCCAGCTCATTTTTCTAGCTCCATCATACCCTCTCCCCTCAACTCATTTTTCTATCGATTTTATCATTTCTTTTTATAGCATGTCCTGCTCCCCTACCACCATTTTTTCGGGGTTACAGATATTTTAGCGGCCTCTAGACCCGTGACTCCAGTCACAGGCATTTCGGTAGTTGATCTATAAACAGAGGGGTGGAAGGGCCTTATAGGACACCCTGTACGTATAGGTACTAACATTATTGCGACTGCATCGGAGCTTGTGTCCTATATGTGAAGGATAGGTATACCGGGATAAGCCTCCCAAAATACCGCTATAAATATATTTTTATAAAACCACTTTAAGTCGTCAAGGGGTGTTCTAAAACTTACGTTTTGGGGATCTCAGCCCTCCAACCACATCCGCACCCTTTCAGGCTCCAGCAATAACCGCTCTTTGGGATATTTCTCGTCTAGATGTTGACGTTTTTTCTTCATACCTTTCGTAATTTTCGTTGGAATATTATTGAACCAGAATTTGTCAGAATTTACATCAAACAGCCCAAGTTTCAGTAAAAAAAATTCATGATCGGAAAATGATGTAACTACTAAAAAAATTGTGATAGGTATTGAAAAAAAAAAAAAAAATAATTCAATTTTTTCCTTTCTGCGCTATTTAGAAACGTATGAGAACAGTAGCATTCCCAAATACTGTCCCTCTATTTAAATCATTTATTCAAATAGATACAACAAGAACTTTCGTAGGTACATTAAGTTATACAGTAGAATTGTGAGTAAAATTGGAGAAAAAACCCTAAATACGAGTCAAACATGGCAACAATGGACCGCAAGGCCCCTAAAAATTCATCGGAGGCCTTTTCAAAGGCCAGAAATGAAAAGTTCGCAAAAGAATACCTCGTGAAGCCTAAAGGAGGGAGTGTGCAGACGACTCCGAGCGGCGAGCGGCGGCGGCGCCCGGATTCCAGTCGGCGGCGCGCACTGGAATGAATTTAGCTACAACGGCCGTCAGCTACAATGAGCGCCGTATCCGGGTACGGCGCTCCGCCGCACACTGGGCTCGAGTGCCGCCAAATGCTACTCCACGCAAGCGACCCCATCCTCATTCGACATAATAAAAGAACAATTGGACGCCCTTCCCCATCTCCCCCCCCCCCCCCCCCCC